TGGTGGGCTTTATGCTTACACGCTTACTCATGTTGCTAATTAGTTTACTTTCTTTTGACTGGGGAAATCCCTGCAGCATTTCTTTTGAGTCAGGTCTAGTGACTGTGCACTCCTGCAGCTTGTGAGTGCCTGGGAAAGGCCTTCACTTTCATAGAGGAAAGCTTTGTAGGGCATAATATTCATGGCAGTGCTTTGAATATATCCTCCTACTCTCTTCTGGCCTGACAGGGTGCTGCAGAGAATTCTCCTGGAAGTCTTGTGGAGGCTCCTCTCTATGTTAGTTACTTTACTTTTTTTTTTTTTAAATCTCAAAGCCCTCTTTTGACAGTATGATTCATAATGTGTTGCAGCATAGCTCTCTTTTCATTTGGTTTGTTTGGAATTCTTCAAGCTACATAAATCTGGATGTTCTTTTGTGAGCAGATTCTTGTAAGCAGTTTTGCTGCCCATTTCTGTCTTTTCTTTTTCAATACAATAATGCACGATGGTCAGCTTGATGGTATTTTGCAGTACTTAATGGTCCCTTTAACCTCCCCCCAATTTCTTTTTAGTTTTGCTTCTCAAACTGGATAATTTCAAATGTATGATTTTGAGGTTATTAATTCTTTTTGTGTACTTCATAGTGGATGATGTTGAGGCCCTCTAGTTAATTAAAAAGAAACACATCACAGATTTATTTATTTATTTAGTCTCTCTCTCTCTCTCTCTCTCTCTGTGTGTGTGTGTGTGTGTGTGTATGTATGAAGGTAGGTACATGTATAGATATGGATATCTCTGTGTGTGAAGGCCAGAAGAGGGTGTTGATCTCTTAGAGCTGGATTTCAGGCATGTTTGTGGAACTTTTGGCTCATTACATGAGTGACAGGATACACATGTAAGTCGTTATGATGGAGCAGCCAGTTCTCTTAACTGCTGAGCTATCTATCCCCAGCCATCCCTCTAGTTAATTTTTTAGTTCAGTTATTATACTCTTTAGCCCAATTTTTGTTTTACTTTAAAAATATTTCATATCCAGTTATTAAAACTTTTATTTTTTATGCTCAATTTTCCAAACCTATTGAGTATTTTGTTGATACTTATTATATATTTTTGACAGAGTTTTTGAGTCCCATTTCATAGCTCAGGCTGATCTAGAACTCACTTTGTAGTCTAGGCTGGTCTTAAACTCCAGGCAGTCCTCTGGTCTCAGCTTACTGGGTCCTGAGATTATAGGTAAGAACCACCATGCTGGGTGCAGGCCATTCTTAGACTTCTGTTTCTTACTATTAGTTTCAGAAGCTTGATTTCTTCTGTTGTTTGGGCATTGTATTCAATCCTCAACACTGTGTGTTGGTTTCTGTGTATTTGGAAAACAACCCTGTCCCCAGTCTCTCTGCCTTATTTCTATGTCCAGTGGAAGATCTTTAATAATTGGGTGAAGCAGAGATTCTGGGGCCATTGCAAACCTTTTCTGTGGATGTATCCTCTGACCTTTATGTACAGTCTCCTAAAGATCATTTTGCTTATGCTTTCCTGTTTGAATAAGCTTGAAACCTCCTACTTCCATCAGTGCTGCTCCTGTACTTTGGGTCCTATGGGGCAGTAGCACCCTGACCCAACTTTGCTTTTCTGTTTTTATCTTCCCTTGTGCAACTAGGTTCTATTTGATCCCATTATAACATCAAAACAGGTTAAATAAGTACTTGGGAAGCTCTTGAAACTGTGTGAAGATCAGACTTATTCTTATCTTCTCTTTGGCACCCTGATATTGATCCACCCCTTTACTAATTGGGCATGTGTACAACTGTACATGAGCTTTCTATGACCTTGTCCAATGTACCAGTTGTCCAATGTACAAAAGCATCAGGACTAGGTGTTGCATCACAAAGATACTTGAAGGGATGGTTTTCCTCCTATTCATTGTTGGACATTTTCACTGACCTCTAGTTCAATTACTAAAAATCTGAGGCTGTCTGTACCTACTTTCAAGTTCAAGTTAGTTGTATGTCCAGTTGAAGACAGCTTCATGACTTGGAATGAAACTTCTGTGCCTAGTATCTGTTTCTTGTGCCAGCCAGATTTTAACAATGGTATTGACCTCCTCCCATAATTGGCATAATTGCCTTCATGAGAAGCTGGCCTCTGTATGTCTCTGCTTTCCTTGGCCTTTATTGGGGGCATGTTTTAGGAACTCCTTACTGAGTGTAGTTTTGGATATGTTGAATTGGAGGCAGTGGTGTTCAGTTTGTATTGTGATGGAGTTGGAGTTGCAGGCTAAGAGTTGTGGTAGGAGATTTCTTGTCCTACCTTCCAGTTCCTGAATAACCACTCTAAAGCTTAATATTAATTATGTTTGGCCAATGGGTCAGTCATTACCATCTAGCTCTTAAAACAAATTAATCCATTTTTATTAACCTGTGTTGCCCTGTGGGTCATGGCTTTTACCTGTCTGCAGACATGTTGTTTCTTGGGCAGCCGGATGGCATGTCCCTGACTCCACCTCCTTTCTCCTTGTAACTCTGTTTGATTTCCTGTCTAGCTATATTCTGCCTGGCCATTGGCTCAAACAGCTTTATTTGTTAACCAATACAAGAAAATACACATTTGCAGCATACAGAAGGACAATTTGAGCCAGGGTTGCAGATTTGGTGATTAAAGCTTCCCCTTGCTATTTGAAATAATAATAGTATATTGATTGGGTTAACCAGGAAAAGCAGATAAAATTAAAATACTTGAGGTTAAATGAAGAAGCCTAGGATCATAGCTTTTATAGGGTGGGGGAAGAGAGAGAGAGAAAAAAGAAAAAAGCTACTCATGGATAGTGTGAAGGACAGGTCTGCAGGGTAAGATGAGTGAAAATTATCTTGTAGTTACTTGTAGGGATCTTTTCAGAAGATTTATTGTGAAGGAGAAACAGTTGCTTGATAGCTAGAAGCAGGTACATATGAATTAATAGTTTGTCCTTTTATGTACACTCCTGTGCAATAAATAGATAAACGTTTCAGGCTTCCTTTTTTATTAATATTTTCTAAGAGAAGTACTTTTAATATTTAACCATTTTTCAATTTTTAACTACAGCTCTTTTTGTGATTGTTTAATCAATTCTGAAAAAAGAATAGGCCAGTGCTTAGTGTATCAGGTGTATCTTTCTATAAACCAAATTTTAAATGCTGTACAAAGTCAAGCATGTTGGCTAATGAAGTTATCCTCAAATTATTGACTGTCTGTTTTTCCTCTTTGCTTTTAACTATTTTCACAGCTGGAAGGCTGTATAGACATATAAAAAATAAGTATTTTTCTTCAACACAACTTATTCAGACATTCAGCATTCCTTAGTAACCAACCCAAAGGATGTTGTGTTATTAGTCTTATTTTACCCCAGAGCCTACATTACTTTAGTACTGTCATTTTGATTTTAGTAGTTTTCCTTTGGTGGCCTTCATTTTAAAGTTTGCCTTGTTTATTTATTGTGTTTGAGTATTGTGAGGGTCACACAGGATGCATGTGGGAGACAGAGGAGAACTTTGTGTAACTAGATCTCTTTCCACCTTTACGTGGGTTCCGGGTATGAAATTCAAGCATGCCCCTACATTGGTGGCAACAAGCATATTTTCTGTTGAGCTGTCCCTTCTGTCCTTTTCAGATATTCTTATGGCTTGGAGTTTGTGAAGGAAAGAAATTCTGATATAGTTTATGGTTGAACATTAGTTATTTAAACTAAACATACGGATGCCCTCCCAACTTACCTTTGGAAAGTAAGTTCCGAAAAACTGTAGGTTTCTTAATCCTTGTATATACTCTTTTTTTTTCTGTACTCCCATGCTGATGACAAAGTCCAATTAATTGTTTATTTCTAGGTTTTCTATTTATAGCTGCTAAACAAAGACTGGTAGAGTGTTTATGCTTACTAGACAGTTTCTGTTGAAGCTGTTGCTCAGGCTATAGGTATTAAGGCATGTATGAAAAACTATAGCCTAATGTGTAATATTAGAGAATAGTGTTTATGATCTTTCATATTAGAGAAGAACCTTTTTTGGTAACATCTATTAAAAGAATTTCCCTTTTCTAGACTTACAATTAATTTTTTAAAAAGCATGTATATGGTTTTTTTGTCTTCATGAATCTCTGTGTACTAAGTGTGTGGCCTGCTGTACATGGAGGAAAGAGGAGGGAAGATGATCCCTTCCTTGGAGCTGGAATTAGAGGTGCTTATAAGCTACCATATGGGTTCTGGGAATTGTTCTTGGAACAACAGCAGCCAGTGCTCTTAACTGCTAAGCTATCTCCCCAGCCCCTAGACATACAGCATTTTGTCTGAATTAACAAGATTTATATTTAAATTTACAGCTTCTGTGTCCTGTGGTTTATAATATGGTTTCAAATTAATTGAAACTTTAAACAACTATGAAGTTTTGTTATTTTATATATTCTAAGGTTTCATCTTGAATGTAACAAAATTTTCTAACCTGAAGACAAAGTTTCTTTAAGAATGTACACTCCATTTACTCTTTCCTTAACACTTGGAAAAAAGAAAGGAAGACAAACGATTTAAATGCATGTGGTTAGAATCTCACTTGAAAATAGCATTTGTTTTTAAGGAAATATATGGCCAGCTGGAGAGATGGTTCAGCAATTAAGAACTCTATTTGCTCTTCCAGAGGTCCTGAGTTCAATTCCCAGCAATCATATGGTGGCTCACAGCTGTCTATAGTGGGATCTGATGCCCTCTCTGGCATAAAGTTTCACATGCAGATAGGGTGCTCATATACATAAATATAAATAAACACTTGAAAGGAATAATATGGCCTACATGTGTCATTATACTTACTATTTAATGAAATGAAATAAAATATGAACAGTAAAATGGTCTTACATTTATATCCATGAATATTCTCCTTCTGTATAGTGAATCAAAATCATTGTGAGCTATCATCATTTATAAAGGCAGGCAATCCTAGATCACATTATCTGTTATGTGAGTTCTCCATAGTTTACCTGGTACTCTTTTGTCTTTTCATTAGAGAACATTACACTGGAAAGCCCCGAATGAGGTCCCATTCCATGAGTCCAACTTATAAAGAAGACAGACAACATATTGCTTCAAAGATCTGCGTAAGATTGGATTTCACTTCTGTTTTGTGTCTTAAAAAGATCCCACAGTTTGTTTCATATTGTCAAAGTTCCAATTAGTATTTAAAAGTCTGAAGTTAAAAATGGAGTGTGAAGGTTTTGGTGGATGTATTGATGTCATAAAGAGTGACATGATTCTGCTTGCTCTCTGATGCTGAGCTATGCTGGCCAGCCCATCATTTCTCCTGAGCATCTAAGAGTGATGCTGAAACAACCTATTTTTCATTCTTTTTCTCTTTACTAAGTACATTAATTGAGGAGTAATTAGACCCCTCTGATCATAAAATTAAGACTGAATTAATTTATAGTGATGAAGGAAATGCTGCTTTTTAAAAATAAAGATAAACTGTTTATATATTCAGATACAAATGTCTCTTGAATCAGTGTGCTTACCCTAGACTGATTTGAACAAGCTGTGAAAAGGGAGAAAGTGTTCTTATGTGCAGTCATTATTACCTAATGCTGGCTGTCTTGGGCTGTGTGCCTTTGAGTTACAAGGAAGATAATGAACTCACAAATAAGGCATACAATGGTCAGGAGCCACAGTAGAAGTCATCACAAATTGTTAAGGATAGACAGAATAGAAGCTCCTTATATTTGGTTGAACAGAGACTAGGGGAAGTCAGCAGAAGGCTCAGAACAGTTCATTGCTGTGTTTAGTGTAAGTGTCACAGGTAGGTAGATCCACTGACTCAATGTTTAGCAGCAAGGTGCTCCAAAAGCAGAAACATGCACTGGCAGCAGAGCCTGTCTCAGAAGACAGCACCAGGTTTGTGGAACAGTTGTTACTTTATGTGGCTGGATCTAGAGCACTGAGATCATTGGTTGTTTCTTTGCATAGCTCCTAGGCTGTCTTTAATTGATTAGTTTTAATTTGGTTGATAAATGTGTAATATTATGAATTATAAAGGAGGAGAGTAAAGAGTCACATAATTACATTTTCATGATGCGAGTCTCTAGTTTATTTCTTTTTATACAGTGTATGAGTGAGAATTAATTTAAGAACAAAGAGCTTCTTGGACATCAACACAAAATTTCCCTGTTAACTAATTTTAAGGAGAGTAAATAATTCATCTTTTCAAGTTCCCTCCCTGCTTTCAAGCTACTGTGGTGCACCACAATTAAAACTTTGTACAAGAAACCTGAAGAATCTGGATTAATTTTCAAATATTCTTTTGATTTTTTTGAAATCTAGTTACTTTGTGAATATATTGTTAAGTCATCTCATTGCCTTAAGCATCTTAATAAACAGTCATTAGTTAGAGTTGAGGCTAGCTTATTGTAACAACCCTGTCCTCTGTGGCCAATACCACATCACCAAATAAGTACATAAAATGCTCATTACTTTGAATGACTTACATTTTGTCTTGCTTTATTTTCTTCCTCTTATTCCCCTTCCCTTCCTCCCTTCTCTTTTGTTTTTTTCTATTGTTTCTTATTTTATTTATTTCCTCCTTTCTTCTTAAATTGTTTTATTTTGTATTTCAGGAAATTCATTCAAAGGAGTCTCCTGTCTCTTTAGATGACAGCGACATCGAAGCTCGCTTGAATAGTTGGAATCTTGGGGTAAAACCAATATTTGTTTTATATGCGTATCAATGTGGCAGGGTCAGATCGTGTATAGAAAATATCTAAATTCATGTAATTCTATTCAGTGAACATTGATTATTAAACATCTATTACTGTTTTGGCCCTGAAAGGATTTTTAAGTAAGAGAATGTTCCAAAGAAATGTAAAATGTCCTTGGTCAACTTTCTTGTTAATGAAATAAGTCAGGCGCATGAAATATCACAGAAATACCAAACTAAATTATATGCAAAGTTGAGTAGGGTTGCCTGTCACTTAACAGCATTGCCGCATCCTACATTCTGTGATATCATCAGGTGATTTCCTTGCTGTGTAAATTAACCACTGACTTTATGGAGAGGTATGATAAAGCAAAATGCATGAGGCCAATGCTGGCTTATTAGGACAACTTAAAAAAAACTTCTTTATTTTTTTTTCTTCCTTGTTTTTTTGTAAAGAGGTGAATGAAAAAGTATGATGTCTATGATACCACTTTGGTGATGGGAACATTTCAGTGCTATAATACTATGGAAGCATCATTTTACAAATGCTTCATTGTTCATGGTATTGTTATGTGGCTTGTGAATGTGTTATGGTAGAGGGGAAAGAAGGGAGTGAGAACATGAGGAAAGTCAGATTAAAAAAAAAGAAGAAGAAAAACTCAAGGAAACTACATGAATGAGTAGCTATGATAGACAGAGATTTTCATGTATAATTGTCACCATGGACATGGGTTTCTTCTCTAGGTTCTTGGTTTAGTAGATGAAAGAACTTAAAATATGTCCCAAAAGGGAACTTGAGGATGATTAATTGGAGTTCAAGAGGGAAAATGAGCCCTGAATGACAGGTGAGGCAAGCTGGAGATCTTGGCAGCTACCATATGTAAGGAGTGGGGACAGCTCTTTCACTAGACATCAGGAAGGTAACAGGTCTGCAGTGACAATCTGTGAGAGCTGCCCTGTAGTGGCCATGTGATTTGTAAAGATCCAGAGGATGTTTACATACTGGCACTTACGTGCCCCAGATGGTACCTGAGGAGCAGATGGCTTTAGTGGACTCCTTGGCATTCCTTTCTGCCTGATGGCCCTTCTCATAAACGGCGGAAGTATTTGAATAGGTGGACAGGAGAAATTTATATAGATGTGAAAAAGATTTGTTAGTGTAAGTGAACCAAACTGATTGCATGGGATTGTTTCCAGTTACTATTATCTAGAGATTGGTTGGTAGTGTTGATAGGCTGGACTGTATTAGGTATTAAATTGAGAATTTCAATGTTTTCATTTGCTCTTTAAGACAGGGTCTCATTATGTAGCCTTGGCTGGCCTAGAACTTAGTGTGTAGATCAGGCTGGTCTCAAACTTGTAGGTAATCTTTCTGCCCCTGCACATAGAGTGTTGAGATAAAGGTGTGCTCTGCCACACTGGCTGAGAAGCTTCTCTTTTGGATTCTGGTTTTAATGAGACCTGTAGGTTTCCCCCCTCTCCTTTCATATTCTATTTCATATATACCATTCATTTGCTTTGAAGACATTAAAAAGGATTTCAAGTGATTTTCAATATGCTTTTGCCACTTAAGAATTTATATCCCAGCACTGTAAGAATAAAAAGAATTTGAAATTTTAAAGATATGAAAATCAGAGGAATAAAGTCTCAAAATGTTAACATGAAGATTAACATTGTTATTACAGGCGAGGTCCTGAAATCTATCTGAAAATCTAAAATCTAAAGGCTCTCCAATTGGAATCTTTGAGTGCCATTGGCACTCAGAATATTTAAGAATTTAGAACATTTTGAATTTTTGATTTTTGGATTAGGTGTATTCTGTTGGTAAAGTTTATAGCACTATTTCAAATTTGAAACATTTATGATTTTGTACACACCACTACGAGATATTCGACCTGACTATATCTTTCTTTTTTTCTATATGACTTTACAACATTCAAAATTTAAATTAAATTGGAAGATATTATAAATTCTGTATGACTTACAGCTTTGAATTTTATCTAATTTATAAGCATTAGTTTTTCTTTTGCACATGTAGTCTAAAATTGAAGTATTCTCTACTTTTGCTGGACAGCCAAGTTGCTCTCAGTTTGTTGCTAAATATGAGTTCTTAACCAGAATCATTGTATTTGTATTTTGTTTCTGAGATTATACTGAAACTTGGGTACCATTCAGATGGTTTGTACCAGTTTCCACCAGCCATCAAGCTATCCATTTCTCACTCATCCTAGTCTCTAACAAAATGCTTTAGGCAAATTTTGTTATTGATAATAGGAAGGCTATACTACATGTGAGTAGACACAAAGAAGGTTAACTAATCACCCATTGTGTATTGAGAGTGCAGTGTGTGTTAGTGTGGCTGCTGTTGAATGGGAAGAGCCAGAAGGAAAAGCTGTGAAAGGGTAAAGGATGCTCAGAGACTGACCGCACTAGGACTTGGAATATTGGCTTAGTCAGTTAGTTGACTGTCAGGTAGAGGAACTTGTTTTAAAGCAGAATTTTATTTTAGACTGGTGGAGTTCCAAAGGATGGTTAAAATTAATTGTAGAATTAAAGGCTTGGAGCTCATGAAATTCAAGGTCTGCAGGCATCCTTTGGAGGTGTTGGGAAGATGCAAGAGCAGCTCTCGTTTCCAGAGACTGCATAGAGTGGGGCTGGTGGGGATGTGAAGAGGAAGAGTGTCTGTCCTGGGTGGACAGTTAGAAGCATGGAAACTGGATGTGAAATGAAAATAATGTGACTCTCCTATTCATTTTGGGAATGTGCTAGTCACAGAAAAGGGAAGAAGAACTGTTGGGCAGGGGGATAATAAGCCCAAAGGAAAACATTTCATGTTTGAAGGTACAGGGATATTGCTGTTGGAAGGAAGTCCTGTTGCCAGCATGGGAGCACAGGAAACCCCACGGAAGGACAGATGGCCTCTGCCAGAGAGCAGCATCAAAGAAGAAATGAACCCTGATGCTTTTCTTTTAAACTTGCCTTTGCCCCGAGCCGTCTGGAGATTTGGCTACACATTTCTTAGTACCTTTTTTCATGATTATTTAACTCTTCAGAGAATTACATCTTTCACATAAGAAAATATTTTTAAAATATCTAAAATATTTTGATGTAATGCTTTAAAACTAGTCCTGCTTGGGAATTTGTTTTACCATTTTGTTATTCAACAGATTTACAAATTATATAAATAGAAAGACTTTACACTCTTACAGACTTACAATGTATGCACATTAACCAGGCTAACCTGTATCTCTTCATCAGAGTGGAATAAACTATTCAGTTAGTAGAAAGCCAGGGGTTTGTTTTCTTTTCATTGCAGTCTCATCTGTCTGAATAGCTCTGTTTTCTTTGTTCTCTGAAGAAGCAGCTAGAGCTGATCTGTGCTGTGAGGTGAGGCTGCATTCTTGACACTGCCGGCATCATCGTCAGTGCCTTCTTCCTTCTGATGTTTTGATGTGCTAGACTCTGGATTTTCTAGAATTTGTTAAATACATTTTTTAAGTATACGTTCTTTTTTTCAGGAATATGTTAATTTTTTTAGTATATACTTCAAGTAGAAATTTTAAAAAAAGTAGCAATGAGAGTTTTATCTCTCATTTTTAAAATAGTTCACTTTCAACCATTAGTTTTTTGCAGTCTTGCTTGTGGTTGTGATTGCTTAGTTCTTCCTTTATTATTATCTAGTATAATGCTTCTATAACCTTATTATAAGTTCTTAACATTCTTTCTTCTGCCTGGTCAGTGCACTGGTGATGTTCTCCATGGAGTTTTGTTTGATTTTATATTGACCTTTTCATCTCTATGTTTTCCTTTCAGGATTTGTATCTCCTCTGATTTCTTGTCCATGCTGTTAACTTGTATGCCCAGGTCTTTATCTTCCTTTAGTACTTCATCTCTGTTTATTTGAATCCTCCTCGACATTGTTGCTTATTCTTCAAATTACGTTTGAATTCTCAAGCATTCCATGCATTTCAACATCTTTGGAGCCAGTTATTAAAAACCTGTGAGCTTCTAGTGGAAGCAAGATTCCTTGCTTTTTCGTATGTATTGTACTCTGAGTTTCTACTTGCACATCTGTGGGGATGATTAGGTCTTCTAGATTTAATTAAAGGCCTTATTAATGAACACCCTTTTAGTTCCCAGTACCACTCAGAGAGGAGAAAAACTGCCACTATAGCAACAGCATCCAAATAAAATGGATATAGAAATACAATTAAACTCAGATAAAGCAAGCTGCTTCATCATCACAGGTGGTTATAAGCTGCTGAATGAGTACTGAGAATTGGACCCAAGTCCTCTAAAGAGCAGCTGGTGCTCTTAATTGCTGAACTATCTCCTTAGCTCCAATAGATACTTCCTTATGGGTTTCTAGAATGTGTTGATGAATTTTTTATGAGTAACTTTAACAACCAATGGCAGTTACTATCATAAAACAAATTAGCAGGCCTCTCATTCCTTTATATGTTTTCTATGGCTAGAGGTACAGGGGAAAATTTTTATGCTGACAGAATTAAAAGCTTCCAGTACATGAATTGCAGTACCAGAAACATACTCATTACTGTTTGTTTAAAAGAAAAATAACTCTGTTGGAAGACCATATTTTTTATCATAAAATATATTAGTTATCCCTTATATCGGGATTGCATTGATAATATTTGAGACCATTCATTCAGATTTGTGTTTTCTTTCCCCTGTTTTCTGCCATTTCTTTCTGGCTTTCTTTTCTTTGTCCTTTATGTACCTTCCTTCTAGTAATCTCACTGAAGGGATCGAGAAGGGCATGCCTGGCATTGGTTCATAGAGTGCCTTGAGCTGGGATAGTGTTCACTAAGGGCCATATCTGTACAGCTATTCCAGACAGTTTATTAGGGCAATCTGATTTTTTTCATTTATGTTAGAAATCATTGTCATCTTATGCCCTGATCTTGGGGAAACCAAGTTGACCATGCTGATGTATTGGACTGTTCTTTTTCCTGTGACATTCCCTCCCTGAATAAATAT